TCCTACTGTGTAAGTAAAAAATCCTACTTCTAGTACCTCATGACTTCTAAGGCACAAAAAACGAGCACGCGGGTATTTGTTGAAACAAGAAAAGTATTTATCCACCGTTTTATTTAGACTGCGTTTTATCTATCCTGCATAGAGTTAATAAATCTCAAGACTACTTTGGAATCCAGGGAAGATTTGTGGTTTATTTTAAGGCGGCATTTTTTCAGCTGGCGCCACGCTATAGTGTAAATAGTCTCGGAAGTAAGATCACCGGTTAGGGTAAAAGCTCAAGCACGTATAAGAACGTAAGAGTCAAAGTTGAAGGTGGTCGATTTGAATTCCGTCGAACTTTTGATACAATGACTGCCCTTTGCTTCTAAGCGACGAGAATACCAGTTCATAGAAAACTTAGTGTATTGATTTCGAACAATCACAATGTTGAAGTTCCCCATTTTTTGCTGGTAAAACAGTAGTGTAATGCTAAATATGTAACGTAAGGCGAAGTTCGTGTTCTTTTGCCTCCTGAAACGATTTACGAGTCGTAAAAAAATCGAATTTCGCCTATGCTGCTTTGAGTTAACTATCGGAGTGATCCGAAAGCTACTTGCACATTGGTTTTTTCTGTAATGCTTTCCATCTTTAGCATATACGCAGCATTCGGCACCTCTAGCAGTTTGTTGGAAGGAGCTTAACTTAATTGTCCATTTTAAGTAGTCACTCTTTATTCAGCGTGGTACGGTGCTAAGGATGGTCGAATCTTACTCCTTCAAGTCGTTAATCCAGGCAATGGCAGCACGGTTTGATAAACGCTCTTTGACATTTGTCCTAGTACTGATGGTGGGTTGTCAGGTCAGCGTCAGTCGTGGTTCGCGGGTCAGCAGCCTGCATCGCGGTTTTCAGAGACGCCCAGCCGTACGCCGCCGATCAATGCCGCCAACCACCGCGTTCCACCTCACTTCATCAACGACGCGCGCTCCCCGAACAAACAGACCCTCTTGCCCTTTGTCCCCAGCCGTCCGAATGGTATAGCATGGCTCAAACCTCTCTTCTCTCATACTTTCTCTTCACCATCACTAGTTATTGCTGCTAGGACATTTATTCGGTATCTTTGTGATGCGTAGTTCACTTCGTGGTCATTAATCTACCCTGAATGCTCATCGAGTGATAATTTATCACCCATTCTGCATCAATTTTAAAAATCCTTTTGTCTTTCACTCAAAGGCTAATGAGTTAGTCTTGTGAAACGTTGCATTGCGGAAGCTTGTAGTAACTGTCCTAAGTTGTTAATGGACTGTTGGTTTATGGGGTCTTTTTATTCTATCGTAGTTGTTCATCCAAGAGCTGCGCTTCAGCTTGTATACTTTTCTTACCACCGCACTGTTAGGTTGTACTTTAGTTCAGAATCATCTAACTATTCGTCTTTTCACTCACAGACCATCACAGAATCTTTTCTGATGTGTACTTCCGCTCTTTCACCCTCACTAGACACCTATCTTGATCGAGAAATCTCTGCTACTCTGACCATCGCTCGAGATCCTTCTTTTGAACTCTTCCTATTCGGCACCTTACAATTTAACGTGCGCAACAAATGTTTTTGCGTGTTTAAGCTGACGCAGCCTTTTAATCTAGGGAATTTCCTTCGCAATGGATTGGTATGCTACCCAACTCTGCCGATGGTTGCATTCCTCAGCCTTAATTTCTGGATGCCCCTACTATCCTAAGGTCACCAGACTAATGTCGCATTAATAGTCAGTTTATTTATCATTCTAATGTAGGTGGTTTGTTAGTTGTTGCGGTCAAACAGTACGCTGATTAGTTGGGTTGCGCGCTTTTCTTATGTCTTCGTAACCAAGGTTTCATTACAAAGTAGTCCTGCTCATTAATCCATCTTCGGCCCCTGTGATGACTAATTCCTTTGCTTTCAACGTGCCTTCATTGCAATCTTTTTTCAAAGTACTACCTGGTTTAGTGGATAGCGTCTGGAGTTTAGACTAGTACCCCCTTGTTAACTTTAAACTTTTAATTAATGAAATTACCCATTACGTGTGCCAAAACTTATATTCATTGCTGGGTTGTCTTGAGGTGGTTGTTGGCAGACAAGTTTGAACTTGCTCCAGTCCAACCTTGTGAACCTCCTACTTTCTACAGTGTTGTGGACTCGCAACCACTTTCCATGCATTTTAATTTGCATGTTTTTTTTTGTGGTTACAATAAGAGCACAACTCACACCATCGAGTCTACTCTTAAAGGCGATGTTCCGCATGTGGTAGTGATAAAAGACCGCTACGCCCAGTTTCAACGGTACTTCTTCTGAAGAGCCATTATGTAGGTAGGCGCTATTGCTCTATTTTATGAGATCTACCTGGCTATGCGCACGACAACTGTGAGGCGAGGCTGTAGTGAGTGCAACAGAAAATGTGTTCTATGTGTCCGCTATTTACTTCTCTTTGTAGCGGGACCTGCTGGCCTTTCATCGCCCGCAGCAGGTTTAGCACCTCGCTCACCGTCAGCCAATACCCTACCTAACCCTTCCTCACCCAAAAACGGTGACTTCCAAACCCACATTCGACCCCTGCTGCTTGACGTAAGTCATTGTTGCCGCAGTTAAAAGCTAGTTCTTCCTCTCCACGTAGCCATAGGTCTTTATGTTTATGCTTAACAGATACAACGAATGTACGAAAACGTGGCGGCCAACCACTCCTTTTGTATCGACTCGCTCACTCGATCTTTCGATCGTGCAGACGTGCAAATCGCTGGCTTCACCAAGTCCTTTGTCATTGAGCTCACCCAACAAATCCTTAGTAACGATCCGGCCATCACTGTAGAGCGCAAGGAACAGGCCATTCGTCGAGCCATGAGGTTAGACGATACTCTTTTAAGTGTTCCTATCGTTGAAGCAATTTTGCTAAGACTTTAGTCTGAGTTTTTTTATAGTCGTGCGGATCTTAGTTTTCTCATCCGATCACCTTTCCCATAATCGATCCCGTGAGCATGACTATGCGGGATAGTTCATGTGTAGTTCAGAATTCCTTAAGTTGGATTGGTACGGCCCTTGGGACAGTCACCAAAGCAATTTTCCCTTTTCTCGTTACTTGGGTGAATGAATCATTCGAGCTGTCAGACACTCGCGGTAGGGACGTTTGGCTTTAGTTGTGGGAATTATAGTATAGGCGTCCTGCTCGCGAAACGCGCTATTGACTTTGTCCTGGTCGACGCTGATTCGTAGGACACAAGTGAGTGTAATCTTGGCCGTTCAGCTTACCGCTGGGCTATAGGAAAAGCCATTAGGCTGCGCTCCCATTGGTCGGTTCGTAATGCTTTTTCACTTTCGCATGTATGCAGCGTTAAAGTCCTTTCAAGCTTACTGAAGATTTACGAGGCTAAGGTTTGGCGCGGATTTGGATTAACCCCATGTATTTTACTATCCCTGTTCCTTAGGCACTTGGTCTTGGCAAAACGTTGTAAGGCCTCTGATCTTGGTTATATTACTTATTTGTTGTACGAATTTTTAGAGTATCGTGGCCTTCAACTGGATTCCCCTCAGTTTTATCCAGCAATCAAAATGATCAATGACAAAAATTCCCATTAAACAGTGAAATTCGGTCCTTGTTATTTAAATTAAGTGAGTAGCACTTTTAGTAACGTGGTTTATTCGTGTTCTAGTCACCTGGAGTGAAGGTCCGTGGCACGTGTTTGGGAGCCTGATGAGGTTGTCGTGAGTTGCACCCTTGCTTTCCCCATCTTTTTTCATACATTTTCTCAAACGAAGGTAGCGTGAGCAGTTGTCTACACGCGTCCCTGTACACACACAAGCAAACGCTCCACATATATACACCTAGTCAACATGCATGCTCACTTGAGGATACGCGCGCTGCCTTGGTTGCTTCCTTGATTTGCGCCCCCCCTCCCGTCCTCTCAATTCCTCCATCAGTCCGTTGTTAGTAGTTACTGTTTGTGGAATTCGTTACTTTAACCAACTCTCCTTTTTCCTGTTTCCTGCAGCCTACTTAGGGATTTATTCATTCTCTTGAAATCCACTTTTGTCTTTTACCTTGTCCGCCTCCCGCCCCTTCTCCCCTCTCTCATGGCCATAGTAATACCAAGCAAGCAAACACGAACCACAACTACTCTTACACGAACGTCCGTTCTGTAACAAAATTGTAAAGGAGTCTGCCCTTGTCCCGTCTTGTCTACCTTTGGGGTAAGGTTGTACTTCAACGTGACCGTTGTCCTCTATACTGCCTTCCCTCGCTCGCACTTGATTTAACACAGAACGTTCCAACAGCGTTTTCTGTCGGTGAATCTAGACATCCAGTTGTTGGCAGGGCAGCCAAGGCTTAAGCAGTTTAGTCATGTGCTGTGCTACAGCAATTTGACAACTTTGGGCATGGGTAAATGAAAATAAAGATATTTGTTTTGTGGGCTGCGTGACTTCATTTATTTGTGCAATTTGCGAATGCAACTTAGCGTCTCAGGCATCTCTGATAGTCACATCAACTCATAGTAGTACCTACACCCGGAGGTCTCGTTTGACCCTCTTGGTTACTGACATGGTTTGATTAAAAACTTTCCCGACTTTGAAACGGGAAAAGTTACCTAACAAAAGGATACTTGCGCTTTAATTTCAGGAGCTTACTAGGCAAGATTTGTGCTCGCCTTTCCATATTCGTGCAAAATATACTAGATTGGTGTTTGGATGTGGAGACATGATTCTCCTGCTCATTATCGTAGTGGAATATAAATCCATCTCACGGGTCGTCTAATGTGTATTTTTGAAGTACCGAACTTACTTGCACCTGTGTTAACATGAGTCGATCTGGTAATAATACTTCTACTCACTTGAATATGCACCACGCGTCTCCTCCGCTCAACACTCATGATATTGTGACACCAGTTTTGAAAGCAGACAATGCATTCAAGAAATAAGATATGTTCTGATTCTCCATAAACACGCATCTAATTGGCAGTAAGATAGATGAAGTTATGAATTGTGACGAGGAGGGGTAAAATTTGAGTGGAAATTACAAGTAAGGTAGTGCTATTTTAGGTGGCTGGAAAAAGGAGGTGAAGGAGAGGGCATTCTCTTAGTTCACAAGATGTCAATGTGGTTAGAGGCTTAGAAGCAGACAACACACAAGGGAACAAGTAGCATGAGAGACAGCGGGGAGGGCGGAAAGACTGAGGCTCATTTTTGCACAAGCGAACAAATTTACAACACAATTTGGCACTCGCTCACCAACGCGCGCATCGCATCACGTAGAGGTTCGATACTATGTACAAATGCGTTTGCGCCTTCGTTGAGATGGGATGGAGTAAAGTGAACAAAAGTGGTGGTACACACAACAGGCACTATGTGGAATTCTGTATGGATAAATCTGCACTTTGAATGACTTCACTCCGAGAATTGCCTCGGGCGAGGAGGATCAAAGGGACGAGTACGCTGACCGACTCTGCTGTTGCAGTTATGAATTGGTGCTGAAATGAAACGGTATTGAGTAGCAGAATCGTATTTACAGTCGCGCACTTTGCTGCACGAGGAATTTCAGGATCTGCCATTACTGTGTCAACCCAGTTACAGTTTTAGTCATTTTGTAACGGCGTGATAAAATCGTTTTTGGACTCAGGGACCTGATAACAGCCTTGGGGATAAGTTTGGCTCTACAGAAACAGGAAGATAGGGAACGAAATAGAATCATTCATGGACGAATGCTTGTGCCATTGCATCAAGTTGTAACTACACGGAAAAGGGGCTGATTCCTTCATTTCCGATCCTCATCAAAGTGATAGTATAACAGCATTGAGCAACAGGTTAATTTCAATGTTATTTACCAAACCCGGAAATAGCATTGGTTTAAAATAACTGTTGAAACATGCCTTCAAGAGCCTTTCAGCAGTGCTGCGTTTGGAGACATCGACCTCTAGACAACAGTCTAAAAAGTCGACCAGGTCGTCACTCAGTCGGTCTTTGCTCTTTATTTCCGGTTTGCCGTTGATCGCTATCAAATAGAGGGCCTGAAAGACAAAGTCAATGTATACTTTCCCTGGAAAATGGTGTCCCCACGAGCCAAACAATTCTCAGTCTTTAAATGTTTGCAATGGATTAACAAGAGACTCGCTGGTAAAGGCAAAACACTTTGATGGAACGAGGTGTAGGCCCATTTTATTGAAATTGCATGACTACCCAGGATTTCATAGCCTCCCATAACGAAACTAACGACAGTGGTGTCTCGTGTGGCCACTCATCCCTCCTGAATCCCTGCTGATTCCAAGTTACAACTAGTAACAGTGGTATCCAACGCAACACAGAATGGTACAATCGGTTTCGTTGGTCGAAAATCACATCTTGTCTTCACGAAGAGTCCAAAATTGTTTCCGATTGGTAGATATACAAGGCTTCTTAACAGAATAATGATCAATACTGTAACAGAATCAAGTCTGGAAGCATTAAAAGAGTTATTACAGCAACTGCATACAATGTTTATCTAGGAACGCTTATTTATGAATGCTTGGAGGAGTTAATAAACGCAAATATCGCCTCTACTTCCAGATTGTTATGACATTTTCAGAGGTGGCTTAGATGTCGCTAACGTAGAATGTAGAATGCGAACGAGGTGCGCATAGATACCTTGAGAGGATTTTCACTGAGGTAAGGTGGTTCACCGTCGAGCATTTCCAAGGTCATGATGCCAAGGGACCAGATGTCGACCTTAGGCCCGTATTGCTTGCGAACAACTACCTCAGGCGCCATCCAATAGGGTGTGCCCACCATAGTTGAGCGTTTAGCTTCGTCGGGACTAAGTTGGGCACAGAATCCAAAGTCCGTCAGCTTCACCGAGCCGTCCAGACCCAGAAGAATGTTGTCCGACTTAATATCTCGGTGGATGACGTGGTTGGAGTGCAGGAAGTTGAGCGCCTGTAGGGTCTACAAAGGTGAGGGATGAGACTAGTAGCAATACTTCCTGAGTTTTGAGTGATTATTCAGTCCGACTTTCCGGCGCTCACCTCCCGACAGACAGTGGCAATATGCTTCTCTTCCATACAGGCTGTAGTAACGACGTCGGTTAGTGAACCTCCATCAAGATACTCCATCACTACCCACAGTTCACTACCGATCTGCAAAACAGTGTCAATTGAAAATGTTGACATTTTTAAGGGTTTGAGTTCAGTAAATCAGTGATTTAGAGGAAAATGAACACAAACTATGGGTGGGATAGAATGCGGACACAAGAATCACAATCCTGAGTAAACCAGCAAACAAATTCGGACGCTGCACCATATTCCGGTTGTGTAAAGTACTAAAAGGTTTAGAACAAAGTACCTAATCCTCTAAGATAACCTTCAAAGAGCTTACCAAATGCAAAAATGGGAAAGACACTCTAAATTTTGGCCTACCGATAAGTTGCTAATGAAATATGGATGGCTTGCTAACAATTGTGCTGCAAGAAACATCCTTTTCGGGATCTGTTGCTAAAATCTCTCCTCTAATCGTTGAATTTCTATATGCGCGCACTTCTTTTAAAAGGTCAAGTGCTGCCAAAGATAATCACAAGCTCTGAAGATTACCGGACTTGGGGATGACTGTGCACGGAAGGCATTGATGCGCTAATGCTAATTATCCGCGCGACAACAATTGGCACGTCTGTAGTGTTTGATAGAAATACAAGGCAGTGTGGAGGGCTTACCAGAAAGCTGTCCAGGAAGTTCACTATGTTGGCATTGCGATGGGCCCGCATCACCAGGATCTCATTGAGAATGAGGTCTTTTTTAGGCTGTTGCCTTAGATTCATCTGTTTAATGGCAACCTTCTGCTTTGTGGCAATGTCCTCACCGACGTAAACAACGCCCGACGCTCTGGAAGGAGAGACACGTTTGCGATTGTTTAGTCTAGGACTAATTAAAAGTCGCCTTAACAATTTCCACTATCTTAAGCAAATACTCAGACCAAGCAGCTATTCATAGCGTTATACTGAGCTGCATGAGCTTGGTAACGGAGGGCACAAAAGGTGGAGATATCGCCAGAATAAATATCCGAGAAATTGCACACCCATGACCAATCCTCTCAAGAGTGGCATATTTTTCACAAGGACGTCCATCGCTGACAATGGAGCTTAGTTTCTCAAGAATTTGACTTTCTGTCAGCCGTAGACGAGAGCGTGTGCGACAAGTGCCACCACCACCGTTTCGAGGGGTAATCGTAGGTCGCGAGACCATCCTTTCGGCCGCTCGACCGCGCTGTTGGGATGCAAAGGCTCCGGAAGTGGTACCCGAGAGATCCGATGGATGCTGGCGGTGAGTACGACTAGAGGAACGCGGTCTCTGTCGCGGCGGTACAGTTGGTGATGAGTCCGGTTCACTTTCCACTTCATCTTCGTTTTCCGCCTCCACCTAGCCAATTTGAATGTAACAACAGTTGCAGTATGGGTACAGTATGTTCCATTGAAATTTGACGAACAACTCTGTAAATTATAGTGATTTTGACTTAAAATGATATTGATAAAAGTGGCCAATCTTGAAACAAACTGCAAGAATATAATGTCACCACCTTGTTTGTTTCTATACTATGGCAATACTTGTCCATTTAGGTTACAAAGTTCTTACTGAAGGACTCATACCCCTTTTCTAATTAACAAT